TCAGTTTCTTGTTGGGGGTCAACTTGACACGAACGCCCATGTATGCTCCCCTCCCGGAGTCATCGAACACCCCTGGTGGGTGGTGAAACACGATCACGTCAATCCACGAATTGTTCAAACGCACCGTTGTTGTACTGTCAACGTTGTCTTCAATGAGTTCCCAATTGCCTCCATTGCGAGGTCTGCACCACGTAGATCGCTTCCAGTGCTTGATGCCATTCGAAACCTTGATAATCCGATTGGGCCGGATATGATCTCGAATCAGGACGTTCATTCGAACTCCTTCTGTCAGCGGGTCTTCGCCATCTTTGCAAATCCAAAAGAGCCGATCCCTGCTACCCTCACGGATGCAAAAAGATACAACTTCGCTAAGAAGCTCACCGTCCAATGATGTCACCGACACGTTCTTGTTGTCAAACGGTCCATCAGATGCCAAGTTGTTTCGGATCAGTCGCTCATCGCGATCATTGGGAGGTTCTCGAGATCGTTGTGGCAACGTCGATCGGGGTCCGTCATCGGCCCCTGGCACATCTGAGATATGTGGAGGTGGATGATCTGGACTCCTTGGGGCAGGTCTCGAAGAAATTGGCCTTGATGGAGCTGGTCTCGAGGTTGGGCTTCGATCTCTTCCCAAGCTCCTTCCCCTGGATGCTTGTGCATGCCTCCAAGGTGGCAGCTTGCGGCTGAAGCTCGGGGATCTCCTGCGCCTTGGAGGTGATGGTGGCGTCGGTAATCTTCGTCGACGCAAAGGGTTCCTTGATCTTCGTCCTGTTTCAGCCATCCTTTTGATCTCAACCTGTTCTGTCCGAAGATGTCCAACGTCAGTTGCAAGCCCTTGTACCAAACGTCGAATCTCATCAAGTTGATCTGATGTAGGATGACCTGCAGTGGGATGATCTGATGTAGGGAGAGATGGATGTTCACCTGAAGCATCATCGGCTGGAGCGTCACGCACGTCACGGCCTGAACTCACACTGCCTCGTGATCGTGCCAACCTTGACATGTTCGGGATCAAATGTCGAATTTGTCCCAAGCTCGCAGCCATGTCTTGACAACCATGGCAAACACCACCACAACGCATCTCGCCCCACTTCCAAGATGATGCATGAATGAGAACAACGTCATAACCAAGGACTTTGAGACACCTGTAGGCAGCAAATCCTTGTCCCACTGACCTATGGCGGCCTGACTTGCACTCTAGGTCCACCAACACTTTGCTGTCAGCCTCCTGCTGAGTGACGAACTCCAGGATGTTGTTGAGATGTTGAATGAACCTGTCCACCTTGCTCAGCGTCTCAAGGATTCCATGATGCCAACCCACGTGAGATCTAAGGTTTACGTCCTGATCAGGATCGGAAATGTCTTCACAGTTGATGCTCAAAGTGTTCCTGCTAGTTCTGCACGCATGTTGTTGAAATCTACGTCCACGAGTCATGATGATCACCTTCCTGTCACTGCGCAGTTCCTCATTCAACTTCGTCTGCAAGATGTCATAGTCCCTCGAATGAAAACCACACATGTCATGGTCGGCCATGGCAACTTCCGATGTGGATGCTGTGTATGCAATGTTGTACTTTCTGTGACACTTTGGGATTTGGGGAAGTTCATTTGGCGGTGTGTTGTTGATGTTGGTCAATCCTTCAGTCAAGTTCATTACAAGTAAACCTGATTTTGAACACCTCTTGATATTCAATGGTTGATCTTTGATGGAAACCACTCCTTTTGCTAGGTCCTTCACTAGGCCTAATTTGGTTTGCGCATGCAATGAAAGAAGCAATGGACTGTTGCCTGTTGATACTTGATATGAATCCAACTCCCCATTCATGTTCCCGTCTGGAAGCAGCAGCGAAAAAGGAATAGATCTCACACCTTCGGTCTTGGTACTACCACTTCCCAGACCAGCAAAACTCTTACAACCGTCATCCTTCAATGGCATACTGTAACCCAATCGGGCCAGTCGTGCTTCTGCATCGACTGCCCAGGCTTTGCTATGACAAGTGCTGTTGCAACCTTCATCCAACACTGCAAAGACATGGGATGACCTGGCAATGTCAACAGTTTCATAGTTCATGTAAACCAAGTCTTGGGGGTATTGAATGTCACTTCCATGCAAACAAATGCCAACGTACCCAGCTAACTCCCTGCCCGAGGGGTCACCGTGCCCATCTTCATTGACCAGAGAAAAACTGTCCTCTTCCTCTGTCACGTCATTGATGGCTTGATGGAGTAGTTCATGTAGACGTGCACGGGTCATGACCTCAGATTGACAGGTTTCAGTAACAAGAGTGGCAGACAGGGGCAACAACTCTTCCAACTGGACTGGATTCAATCCATCCGATTCTTCAACCAATGATTCAACAATAGGGATTGCTCGAACTGATGCTGTTTCAACCTTCTTGGCAATTGCAACACGCTCCTTACGAATCTGCATAGGAGCTTCATCAATGAACGTGCAACACTTCTTGCAGAAAGTACGGTGTGTTGATTTGCTGGATCCCCGAAAATCTGTGTCGTCATGAGGGCAATTTTCAGGGGTCATCAACGGTACCATGTCACGTCTTGTTGTTTCGGAATGACCGCACACAAGACAGGTCTTCCTGATGCTGTACCCCGTAGAACCTTGTTTTGTAAACTCACGACATTCCCGACACTTGTTCGGCAAAGGTGGATTTGGGGGTTTTCTCCTGCCAGTTTCCCGAGTCACCAACAAATCTCGGTGCTCGACATGCTCAACAGGGACTTCGCGCAAGTGAATCCCATCAGCACCAACTACAAAGTACTTGTCAACCCAATTCAACCATGTGACATAGTATGGACTCTTGGGGGTATGTTTCTTGGCATGATGATAGTACCCTGTCTGTTCAAACAACACATTCCAAAAAGACAAACCCTTGAACTGTCCAACAGGAAAGATGCACCCATGGTCCTCGGGTCTCATTGTAACATCGAGATCCCGGGAAATCAAGCCAACGTTGCTGCTGGATGCTGCTGCACGTGAAGGTCTGCTGCTAGGCTTCGCTTGTCGAACTGCTATCATAGCAACTGCATCTCTGTCACGATCAGGTGAAGCTGTCAAAGTCACACCATCATCATCTGAAGAATCGCTCATGTCGGCAAAGTGAGCTGCGGGCTTTGGGGCTGGTTTCCCAGGGGCTCCGGATTTGGACCCCGGGAATTTACATTCCGGGTCACCGGCCCAGTGCCCTATGACTCCGCATCTCAAACATTTGCTCTTCGACTTCAGCTCTGTGAGCTTCCGTCTCCTCTGATCGATCGTGAGGTTGGACTTCACGATCTTTCCTTTCCCCTTTCCTTTGGGCTTCCCGAAGGATTTTCCCTTGCCACCTGCCTTCCCCATTGCGGTGAAAGCAGCAAGTTGTAGCTGGATGGCGTCTCCTGCTTGTCGATCGTCTTCTGCACCTTCAAGTTCTAGCAAGCTGTTCAATGCAACTGCTTCGTACTCATCGACATCGTCAAAGTAATCAAATTCGTTGTCACCTTCTAGGTTTCCTGGCTCCTCTTCTGCAATGTCACATATGAATCATCCTCCCAGGATTGATTCGCAGTTTCATCCCAAGATTCTGCATGTTCCTCCCCATCATCGGGGTAGGCTGCATAAGCTGCTTGAGAATACGATCCCTTCGAAGAAGGTTTGCCTTTGCCATAACCCTTGCCTGTTGATTTGCCAAGCTGTTGAGGATTACCACGTCCTGTCCAGGATCGTGACCCTTCTCGCAAGTGAGTGCCACTGTAGTTCTCGATCAGCACCTTGCCAACACCTTCAAAATCCTTAGTGTCTGCACAGGCCTTCACAACGAGGATCTCTTGTCGATTGAGTCCACTCAACTCCAACATCAACTCTGTCCTCAAGCTGTCTGAAAACACCATTGTGGCATCCAACTCGCAAAGCATGTGCCACCAACGTCGTCTCCTTTGAACATAGGAAAGCATGGGTTCGCCTGGCTGGCGAGACAAAGGTCCACCTTGTTTCTGTCCTGCACGAAAAAGTTCCTTTGCTTCCTCACGAGCTCTTGGAAACACATGGGATCTGATCTCACCCACAAGTTTCACTAAGCCACCAGGTTCGGACAACACTTCAAGTCCAAGATCCCTAGCTATTGAGAAAGCATCTCCTCTCAGTCCTTCGATCACCTTGTTGACCAGTGGTCCACGATCAACATCTGTCTTCTGCTTGCCGGACTTCGAGGATTTTCGGCTCGCTCCAGACTTCGGAGTCGAGACCGCTGATGTAGGCTGGGTTGCTTGAGTTGCACCCGACAAATCTGGAAAAGTAGCATACTCATCTGCGTCTTCTGCGGCAGGCTCTGTTGCTGTGGTCCCAACGGGATCCGCAGACTTACTTGTCTCCTCCAGTTGTTGCTCATAAAGACGAATCCGAAGGAGTGTCCTGAACTGCCAATCATGAAAGTTCGCCGCATCACCTGCATAGATGTACGATCCACTCTTTGTCTCAATTGGTGCCGACGAATGGCGCCCCTGGCTGAAACGAAGGCCATTGATCGACATGATGCTCGCTCCGTTCGGAGTCGAACAAGGAAAAACGTTAACAAGTGCCTGCCCTGGTCAGGGTCAGACAGATTCCCGAACCACGACACACTCGAAGTTCAGTTGATTCCCAAAGTTACCAGACTCAAATTCACAAAGGGGTCCCTGGGTCACTGACGTACCACCGGATGCGGGTCGTCACCCGCTCCGCTACCAATCTGAATTGGAAACGGGATCGTTAGTGCCCAACTTTTACCACGGCAGCGCGGTATGACTCAAGGGCCCTAAAGCCAAATGTCAACGGGGGCATGTGATCACTTGGCTATACAAAATATACATTAGACAGGTCAAACTCACACAATATTGGACCAACAATCCGATTAGCCATCTTGAAATGTGTTCAAATTACAGTCAACGTTGTTGGTGTTGTCACATGTGTTTGTTTCCATGCTAAAATTGCCAAATAGAACTCGATTCAACTTGCTCCAAGTTGCCGTGGCGAAGGGAGCTTTGGGAAAAACCTTCAGCAGTCCTTGGCTCAATCGGATCAATCAGAATCGCCACCAGGATGGATTAAATTTGATCGGAAAACGTGGGAATCAAACTGAGCCAAAACCTCTTTGGGGGAATCCAGGACATCATTGGCCAATGTTTTTTGTCTCACTGGAGGACTTACGGCACAACTTTATCCAGAAAAGTCCAAAACAAAATATGGAAGATTTGGCATGGACAATGAAAAATCAAACACTGGATACAGTATGATACAGTGAAATCATGACATCCCCAGTTGCTAATGATTGGTAGCACAAAATTCCACACTGTTCATTTTATGGTGTACTTTTTTTCGGATGATGGTGGCCATCTACCAACTGCAGCGCCAAGTGACTGGACGGCACAGTGTCCAGCTGGATGCCGCCACTCACCATGGCCTCGCACTTGCGATGAGGAATTCACCGGAACAAAACCTGTTGCTATGAAAGATGCTGATACACATAGGTTGAATTGAATATGAGTTCTACAGATTCTACAGTATATGTTGAATCTTGATATATTATCATACGTCTGTATATTATATATGTATGTGTATATATATATTATATTATCATGAATCATATATGCTTATTACATCTTATTACTCGGAATATCCATCCAACAAGAATTGGGCATACTCTTCAATTCGACTAGGAAATTGAATGTTTCATTCAGGAAATTGAATGTGTTTCCCTGACATTTCTGCGATGTCATTGGTTCATCAAGCTAGTCTTTAAACAGATCTTGAACCGGATTCCACATTGCTGTGGATCTTCGATCATCTCCCAATCTTTTTTTTTAGATGGTGAGTGTATAAGTATCCGCTCACAGCAAGCCATTATATAAAGATATACAAAGTACTAAAGTAGCCATCCAGTTGATGTCTCCAGAAAAAATGCTCAATGATGTTTTTGCTGATTCACAACATATCATCCCGAGTTGTTGTAGATATCGCTCAACATCTTCACAAAAAAAAAAAACACTTCCCATCGCATGAAAAATACTACTTGGTTGATAGCTGTCCCAGAAAATGTGGTGGCTCATAATCCCCGTCACCTCCAAAAGCTCGGCGACACTCTCCCCGCCGCCGGCGATGAAGGGCCTGAGGGCCATCATGGGTGTGGCGCCGTCAAGGAAAAATATGTTGTTTAAAATGGATTAAAATGGTGAATCGGAAAAATGAGGATTTTAAACAGAAAACTGGGATCAGGAAATGATTAGGAAGTGGGTCGTTCTTAACCTGACTAAATGCGACCCATGAGAACCCCATAAATGGAGACTTCCTGACCATGATGATCTTTCAAGTATGGTTGGATCAATGGATCGCTTTTCCGAAAGTGTCCAGGAAACTTACCCTCTGGTTATTTAACATAGCCATGGGAAATGGCCCATTTATAGATGGTTTACCTATTAAAAATGAGGATTTTCCATGGCTATGTTAAATAACCAGAGGGTATGAGCTTTCACCATCAAATCTAGGAGTGCATCGAACAATTTGTGATTCTCGACTCCCACTTTCTTATTGGTTGATGTATTTGACTCCCCATTTTTTGTCAAAGCCGACTCAAAAAGGTGGGAGATTTTGAGACCAATTCGAGCAGACAGGCTTCAGACTCGGCTTTGGTGGCCAGCAGTTCCGCCAAAGAGGCATAGGACATCTGCAGAGTCGGAGGAAGAACAGCGGTTGCAGAGTGGAGGGTGATTGTTGACAACTACATGATTTCATAGTCTAAGACAAACCATATCTTTTATTTTTTAATATCAATATCAACCGATGATATGTTTACGATTGATTGATTGATTGATTGATTGCTTGATTGGTTTGTTGATTGATTGATTGCTTGATTGGTTGGTTGATTGATTGATTAACACGTGATTCAATGGGTTTCTCTATGATGGACCACAAGAGACTTCTGCAATCCAAATGTTTTCGATGTGAGGGGATGCCCAAGTTCTTTGTCACACCCAAGTTCTTTGGCTTTCTACGAAGCCAGGAGCAAAAGGGGAGCAAAAAAATGTGTCGTGACCACCAACTTCTCTTCACCCAAAAAAAAGTTGCATACCAACAGAAATACGATCCCCCCAACTAACATAGACCCTTAGAATGGCCAATGTTTCGAGGAAAGTAATCTAAACCAACCGCCAACTCTTGGCAGCGTCGTCATGTTAGTTGGGGGCATGGTACATTCCTATTCAAAAGCTACAGTACAGTATCATGTAGATATTTTCTGGATAATTTCCTTGCCGATGCCCCCCATGTGAAGATTGTTCAAATCAATATGTTTGATAATGACATCCCCTAAAATCTCCATGTTCGATGATTCGATCCCATTGTATTCCCATTATATACCCATGATATACCCATATAACCAGCTTAGAATCTATTAACTTGTTGGTGGTATACCTACCCCTCTGAAAAAAATGCGAAAGTCAGTTGGGATGATGACATTCCCAACTGAATGGAAAGTCATAAAATTCCATGGTTCCAGTCACCACCAACCAGATTAAGACCCATTGAAACTATTGAAACCCAGAAAAATCCCCCTGCTTGATCCCAAAATTTCAGGTCATCAAAGCTCAGAACCGCGCCTTGACTGCCGACTTCAACAAGGGCAGCAAGTCTTCCAAAGTTCTTCCCTGGTGGGCAGTACCCGCGGCCGGCGACCGGCGAGACAAAAGGGGAACTATATTCACCAACAAAAAACATGAGACTTGAACACTGGGGAAATTAGAAATGATAATATGGTATAAACACTCACATATTTGGGGATATGATGGAATATGTTGAATCCATGTCTGGGGCACGAAGTCAACCAACAAATGTGGGGATTAGCAAGAAATGTATGGATAGTGTGCAATGCCCAAAGATCTTGGTGATATATCGTTGGGCTTCAATGTTTCACTATGGTTTATCCAAAATCAAACAACTACATCAACATATGTCAACCAACACTTGCAAATAGAATAAGGACTGTTCAACTGGGCGTCTCTGATATCATTTGGACAATAGCCCATCAGGTTGAGGAGTTCCAATTTCTTGGAGATTGCTATCAATCTCCTAGTACCGTGGACTCTACACACAAACATGAAGCGAAAACATACCAGCGGGATAATCACCTAGTCACATTTCAGTTATGTCTGGCTGAATCGTAATTATTCACTAACCTGAAAATAGCTGTTATCATCCGGCCAGCCATGGGGATGATTTCCAAAAAAAACTAACCACCATTCCAGGTCACTCTAAATTCATCCTATGGTTTTGCTGCATAGCCAGATCCTCCAGAAAGGCCTTGCGACAAAGTCAGTAGTGGCAAATCCAGCAGAACCCCCAACAGAGTCATCTCAAGCATCATGTGTCAACCCTGGATTAATAAACCCCAAAGGGTTGTTTGACTGGGAGGGTACCATAAAAAAGTATCGGATGAAATGACTATTGGAGTACCCCCTAATTCATAAACCATGGTTTATTAATCCGGGGTTGACATTATGTTTGATGGTTAAGACTCGACATGATGGTGAACTCTGAGACTCTAACCGCATATCAATTCCTATACATATTCCCATATCTGGTTGGTTAATAGGGATTCCCCATTCATGGAGTGTAGTATTCCCCAAATACATTGCTCGGTATAATCCCCGAACCAACCATCAACCAAGGGGCGTTTAGTAACCACTGCTGCATGCCAGTTCCCATATAACCTAGAACTCATGATTACCCTCTGGCAATGCTATGGTATAGATGATATAGATGGCCCATTTAGTTCGTTGATGCACTTTACAGTATAAAGAAACGGATCGATTTTCCCTATTTGTTTTTTGTGAATTTACACGAGGCTCAATCCCCCATGTATAGATCATTTTCCCATCAAATGACCGTGACCATAGTGGATTTGTCCATTAAAAACCCTCCACTGATAGTTGATATACCAGGGGCTCCATGAACAAATGCTCACCTGAGAAGGCTTAAGCCCAACCGCACCACGCACCTCGCAGAGCTTGGGAGCCTCTTTGGTCAACCTCTCGCCACAGGTCCTGGTGAGGTCGGTGATGTTAGGAATGAATCCTTGATGGGATATAGTTAGATAATGTTAGGTATAGCCAAAGGAAGTTTAGAAGTCAAACGTCCGACTTATGGACAGATGCAGCAGTGGTGAGAACTGTCAGAGAAGAGAAAGAGTCAGAGAAGAGAGAGTCAGTTCAAAGACGAGCAAAGTGCGCTTTTAAGGGCAAAAAAAAGTCGCGAAACACCGTGTTTTTTCCAATGTGTTCAGGCTCCGGAGGGTACCATCTGGTCGGCTTAACCACTGAGTGACTGGTGTTTTGGCTCCTGAAATCGCAGAAGCCATCACCACTGGATCCAGTGAATGCCCAGTAGTAAAACATAGCTCCGCAAACAAACAAACGGCTCGGCTCTATTACTTTCAAAAATGTACCGTATTCTTACTCCATAAAACCCTGTCATAAACCCAGCATGATAGCAATGACAATAATGGTTTATGACAATCATAATTACCATGGTTTAATGACAATAATGGTTTACAATAATAATTCCGTAGCTTATCATAATAAACCATCAAAGCAATACCCTAGAGTAATAAACTATGGTTTGCTGACATCCTCCATTTACTGCGATGAAGTACCCAGCTAGAAACCACCAGTTTGATCGAGGATTTCCCAGCTACCCATGTTTGGTATCCCCCCGAATAGTACTAATAATAATGATAGACATGATAATGATAGTAAAACTAATGATAGTGATAATAATGAAAGTAGTGATAACAATAATGATACTAAACCAGGTCCCGAGTTTGTTGCATTCCTACGGTTTCCTCTCTAGAAACATCATGGGAACTTCAGGTCGCGGGGCTCGCCTCCAGTCCAAGGTCATCTCGCATAACTCGGCCAGAGTGCCGAAGGTCAAGTCATCCTTGGCCTTCCAAAGTTAAAAAGGTGAAGCGCCAGAACTCCCAGGTGATTCTGGGATTGAAAAGGTGAACACTTGGGAAAGTGAAACAGCCAAGTTGGCAGCAAAAACCATGTGATTTGTAGGAGATGTCTGGACTTGAAGCTCCAAAAACATCAATGATGTATAACTGTATAACTAACCAACCAAAAATGGAGGTTTCATGATTCCAACCAACACAAACAGGGACCTAAACTAACAATTTTTAGGGACCTGTGATATAAAGCAACATGGAGACTTTAACAGCTACAGAACACCCACTCCAATCAACTCCCAGGCAAGCCTTTGATGCTTAATGAATTCACATCAACATGTCTGGATATATCTGGCATATCCTCAATTCTGTTTTTTGAACCCTCAATCGCAGCCCACAGCCTTCCCATCACGAATCATCTCGGAGACAATATCCCCCAATTCCTTCTGACAGCGGTGCCGCCTTGCTGGCGGATGTTTCCATAGTCATGGGGGTACCGAGAAATAGCTGGAGGGGTCATTTCATGGAAAATCACATCTATAAATGTGATTTAGGGGTACCACCATTTTAGGAAACCTCCATATATATATATACACAATGGTTTTTTAACTGGAGGTTGCATCACAATATATATATATATACAATGTTTTTTAAACTGGAGGTTGCATCACAAAGCCCGTGCGTCTGCATCTCCACCTGCCATGTTTCACCACGTTGCACAGCCCCGACACCCGGCTGCTATCTCTTTTGGTCGCAGAATTTGGCTGGCTTTTGTTCGTGTCCGGCGAAGCGGGAGAAAAGAAAGACACCATTTGTGAGTTACTAAATGAGGCCATCAATGCTGGAATTGGATATAGGGTAACTATTCACCATTAACCATAGATTATCCATAGATTATATAACCATTTATAGATGGTTTACCCAGCCATAAACCCATGACGGGCTATCTAAATCAAGCGCCAACCTACAGGGAAATGGAATACGCGGTACCAAAAAGGGTCCAAGATGGTCCTGAGTTCTCTGACTTCGCAATTTTAATCCACAGTGGTTCTTTGATCTCCCCAACTTGCAGGGGCCATCATGAAAAATCATCAAAACACCGTGCCAAACCTCTCACTCGGAGTTGGGTCATTTCCCACCATGGGAACCATGGATCTTCTCAAGTTTTGGTGCGAATCCTTCCATGTTTCTGGGTTTAATGGGTCTGGCCCTTGAAAACTCAGTGCTGCTTAAATGCCCAGTTGTTTGTTGCTGAAATACCCATTTTGCTGTTGAAACCCATGCCAAAACGATGATTGTCATCCCCCTAGTCGCTGTCTCTTTTTTTTTGCTTCAAATGGACCACATCCCGAGTTGACCCACCATTTTTGGGGGAAATTCCCGATTAGACCCCCTGCAATTTGCCCCCCCAGGAACAAGTTGGTTCATAAACCCCATTCCAGTAACTAGTTACTAGTTCGCTATATCTTCCATCAACATCACTTGCAAATCCCATTTTTTGCTGGTGAAGTCCCATTGAATTCCATTTAAATCCCAGGAAATCACATGAAAATCATGAAAATCCCATGAAATCCCATGAAAATCCCATGAAAATCCCATGGTTGACGATGAAAACCTATGGTTTCCACCGGATTTTGACCCACTTTTGACTGCCCTCAGGTGCCCAGTTGGATCACCAAGCATGTCGCATTGTCCTGGGAAAATCACGGATTTCACCAGGATTTCACCAAGCAAAATCAGAGTTTCACCAAGAAAATTTAGGGATCGATCCAAGAAAATTCATTTTTTCATCTAAAAAAGATGATGGATTAGTATATGATTTTATCATAGTTTAATATATTTTATATAACTGTTAACAAAATATGTGAATGTTCATCGCAACGAGATAGTAAACAAAAACCTCCCGCCAAGTTGTATGTTGGTTTAGTTTCACCCCTTCAACTCTATATACATCATGACATCCGGGTATGTCTGCAAATGTAGCATGAATGTGGCTGTTTGACATCCGGATGATGAGAAACATTGAGAAACCGCTGGATCTAGAGCTAGAAACATCGCTTTTCCATCATGTCCAGATAAACCACCCATTGGTTTTCCCCAGAGATTTTCGAGGCTTTTCCCATCTGAGTTCCCCCTTTTTTGGTGCAGAAAATCCCAACCCCCCGTGGTGAGCCGCACCGCAGTTCCGCGGACCGACACCTGGGTGTTGGCCTGTAGGGCTGCCCAGACCACATCCGCCGCTGCTTCCACCGCATCGCCTGACATACCCTGGTTGATGAGAGGATATGTCATTGTATAAATAGGCTATTATCATATATATATATACCCTGTAATTATATCAGAGGATATAAGGTAGTATAAAGGGGATGTCAGAGGAATATTCATTGTTGATCATCAGAGTATATTGGGTAGTATATAGGGGATTATGCGACCCCTTGTTTACTGTAAAATGGTGGCTAAGTATTAAAAGATGCTTTTTTCATGATCACAGATTATGGCATTAACCAAAAAATATGACATTCGGCTAAAATTTAAGATGGTGAATCAGATTCTTAATCAGAGTCTAGATCCAAGAAAAACACTCTATATATATATACGATCATTGGATTGGTTTGAAGAACATGTTGCAGGAAATCAGTGGTTTGTCCCTGCAACTTTGGTGGTGTTCCTTGACATTTTTCTTCACCCTATAAAGCCTTGTAATTTTCGGATCGATTCTATGATTTGGATGGATGTGATGCTCCTATGTGCAACTGTGCAACCTTCTTTGATTTTCTAAGCTCACTTTTGGTGAACACCCCAATTCTTCTCCACTCCAAGGGCAAGTCGCCTGGGAAACCTGGGAAAAAATCTAGTTGTATCTTGGGTTTTGTTTCACCCATCCAACATAATATCTTAAAAAAAAAAAAAACACATGAAGTAAAGGCCAGTTAGCAAGGCAAATAAACCAACTTACCCATCCTAAATCAACTGTAAATCCATAAATTCTCATTGTCTTCGTTAAATCACCATTTCTGGTTGATGAACCTCCAATGGTGTGTTGGTTTAATTACCATTTTGGGTGAATAGTTCACAATGTTCTCGCAGTTCTTCGAGGTGAAGAAAAAGGACTTCGCCATTGACTCAATACCCCAAATACAAGGGGTGGAAATTGGGTAAATATGTCCAAACATAAAGTTGCTTTCCGAATTTCGACGCAACTTTACCCCTGTTGTGGCTGTCATGAACCTTTTTGGTGGGCTGGTTATCATTTATCTAAGCTATTTGACACCGTTGTTTGGTGGATGAAACCTGATCGCTGCTGGTGAAATCCCCATGGTCATGGGAGCCCCACATGGGCCATGAAAAACACCATTACCCTCTGGTAAACATACAAAAAACTATGGAAAATCACCATTTTCAATGGGTAAATCAACTATTTCGACTGGGCCATTTTCAATAGCATATAGCTATGCTTGTTTACCAGAGGGTATCCTATCCAATGAAATACTGGTTCGTAAATTGCTATCCCGTTCATTCAGGATTTGCAAGCACAAATCAACCGAAAGCAACCAATGAACAGATCAACTATAGTTGCAATCACCATCGAACTATGGTTAATCACCATTAATCTCCTTGTTCCATCGGTGATGGTCGATTTAAGTATGGTTCATCACCATCGAACTATGGTCAATCACCATGCTTCATGAAATCCATCCCTTTCATCATCGTTAAAGTCATTAAAGAGCCCTGGCTTACTCCCTGGAATGAACTGGAAGTAATTATTTGGAGTTATATGATATTATATGCTTAATTATATGGAAATATACTGAATTATATGGAATATTCCATGGGTTATACCATCTGGTTATTTAACATAGCCATGGAAAATCACCATTTTTAATGGGTAAACCTCTATAAATGGGCCATTTCCCATGGCTATGTTAAATATCCTGAGGGTAAATGATCAGTGTCCCCCAGCATCCAAGACATGACCTAAATCCCAGCTGGAGGTAACCTGCAGGTTTCAGACCCTTCACCGCCAATGTGATGACCTGTCGACCGGTCGAAAGGGCGCGCCGCGTTTTTTTATGGTGAGATCATGGGGATATGTCATAACAATTGGTAAATCAACTTGGTGATTAATGGTGATTTAATGGTATTTTATGGTGGTTTAATGGGATCTAATGGTGATTAATGGAGGTTTAACCTCTGGTAAAGTAACATAACTATGGAAAATCACCATTTTCAATGGGAAAATCAACTATTTCTATGGCCATTTTCAATAGCTATGTTTGTTTACCAGAGGGTAATTCCCGTTTGTATATAATCATGAATGACCTGCATCTACCCATTATGCAATTATCATCAATTATCAATGAGTGTGTATATATATATGTTTAAACAACATAATGGGATATAATGGGATATAATGGGATATATAGTGGGATACAATGGGGATATAGTGGGACAAAATAAACGAAAATCACATAAAGATGCTGATGGCTGCTTTATCCAGTAAATATCCGAAGTCAGAAATGTACTCCTGTTGAGGATAGTTGGTGGCATTGTAGATCCCCCCTTACATCTATTAGAATGCCATTGATTACACATTCTTACACTCATCATTGTGGCAATATTGTCGTTATAGTCCCCTTTTTTCGTCAGAGATAGAGGTACTACACCAAAAATCAGATGTCGTATGACTTTGTTGCTGATCTGGATCCCATCAAAACATGTCTAAAACTGTAATTAAGTTCGTAAAGATAGAAGTACTACACCGAAATTCACATAGAAGTAGATGTTATATCAGTTATATCAGTTATATCCCCATAAAATGCTTAGTATCACCTAGTTATATCCCCATTATATCCACGAAATCCCCGAGTTATCTCCCCATCAACCCATCAACCTATGGGCCCTTCACCACCGACCTCCGAGCTGCTCAGCACGTCCAAGACGCCGTCGGTGGCCAACCTCACCATGTCATGTGTGTAGTAAAGGGTGTGTATATATATATATATATGATTATGATGATTATGATGATGATGATGGTGATGATGATGATGATTATGATGATGATGATGATTATGATGATGATGATGATTATGATTATGATTATGATGATGATGATGATTATGATGATGATGATGGTTATGATGATGATGATGGTTATGATTATGATGATGATGATTATGATGATGATGATGATGGTTATGATGATGATGATGATGATGATTATGATGATGATGATGATTATGATGATGATGATTATGATGATGATGATTATGATGATGATTATGATGATGATGATTGTGATGATGATGATGATGATGGTTATGATGGTTATGATGATGATGATTATGATTATGATGATGATGATGATTATGATGATGATGGTTATGATGATGATGATGATTATGATGATGATGATTATGATGATGATGATTATGATGATGATGATTATGATGATGATTATGATGATGATGATGATGATGATGATGATGATGATTATGATGATGATGATGGTTATGATGATGATGATTATTATGATTATGATGATGATGATGATTATGGTGATGATGGTTATGATGATGTTGATGATGATGATTATGATGATTATGATGATGATGATATATTATGCATGATTATCCATGAATCTGAGTATAAATATGTTTGAACAATATCTGTATATATATATATATCAATCAATACAGTATTGATCTCATGATCATTGTTTGTCCAATCAAATCTATGTCATCAATGTATTCAACTATATTCAAATCACATATCCTTATCACTCCAACACACTCCAACTCCAGAGTGTCTGAACATTGAATGTTATAACAATTACTTATCTGGGTAAATTGCAGTAATTCACTGAAGGCTCCTTCCAACCATCATTCCAGTGATGTTGCAGTGAGATCGTCACAATGTACCCATTTACCCAGATGTTCCTCAATCTGTGGAGCCAAACTAATCCCATGCAACCAAATAAACCAGATACAGTGTACCAATATCTTCCAATATAGTGTGACTGAGGAACTTTCACTTCAGGCTGGATTTTCACAATTTGATTTATATCCCCGTTTCTTCAACTCAAATCCACACTCGCGCTGCTCAAAACCCCCTTTTTCAAGTCCGCCATCATCCATCTTCACCATTGATCTTCAGAAAAAATCGACCAAACATCAGGCATGTTCTCCTCTCCCTCCCGATTTTTTCCATCCTTTTCCTCCACCATTTTCTGCTTTCCCCACGTTTCCCACCGTTACCCCGTGGCGCCGTTGGTGCCAAGTGGCACAAGCACGTCACCCGCTTGGGCCTCGAAGACGGAGACGTCGGGGACCGAAATCACCTTCCTCGTCCCTGGCGAGGGCTGGGTTCAGGATTGGTTCAGGAAAATCTTCACCGGAAATATCCAGAAATCATTGGTTTTTACCATCGGTTTTTACTATTTGGGACTTCCTGATGTTCTAAATCCCTGCAAACCAATCTGAAATTTGAAAAATCACTGAACAGGTTTTTTTCATGGCGACCTCATCAAAATCAACCAATGAGAAAAGGATATATGAATGGGCAAAAACGGTGGAGTTTCACCAGTTTAACCTCGACAAAAACAATTAGGACGTAAGAAAACTATGGCATGGAATCAACAAACATCAATCACCACAGGGATATTACTCAACATGGGGATTGACCAAAGATTTTGGATGTCTGGATTTTGTTCAAGTTTATAATTATGGACCTGCAAAAAATCCTCAAATGGTGCCAGAATCCAAAAGAATCCAGGGAAAGAACATCTAAAAAGTTGGGCAATTTTTCCCAGAATCCTTTCTATGGCAATGGAACATCACAATTGTTCATGGGAGAAAAAAAACGTGAATGATGTGCATTGGAAAATGTCTCTTAGCAACTTTGACTACTGGAGGGTAACAACTACTTGTGGGAAATTCTTTAGTTCGTAAATTGCTCATCGTGCGTCTATGGAAAGAGCCATGCTTGCCTTTTAAAACACCAATCTCCAGAGGGTGGTGTCCCTGGTTATGAGTGCTGGCTCATAACCCTTATTAACTATAAGCGATTTTCATCACCACCCAACAGTTTACCTAGCAATTCCACCGTGGGAAAACACCTTGTAAATAGGTATCCCAATTATGGGTCACATGAATCCCCAATAAATCCCATGTTTGTTGCTTCTTAATCCCCAGCCCCATCCCAACATATCCCAACCACGCCCCACCTGGCGTCTGCGCCGCATCTTTGAAGCGAAAGTTGCCAAAGGCTCGACTCGTGGCCAGCACCGCATCGACTCGCGCCGGCTGGGCATCGTCGCCAGGGACCACATAGCCACCTGAGGCCGCGAGGAAGAGATGGTCCAAGGAACGGGAACAAGGAAAGTGAGTCCTTGGACCCTCCAAGGAACCATTTTCCATCATTTCCCCCTATCAAACATTGGCAACAGATTGTAAAAGTCCAAAATAATGTGCATGTTGGCCTATTTTTGGAGGTACTTGGAGTCTAGGTTCATTGTTCAACCCGAAACCGAATGGTTTTAGCATCTTTAGAGCTTTTATTCAGGTTTTGTACTCACTGAAGACTTGAGAGTTTTCTGGAAGATGGGTTAAGGACTGGTGACATCCATTAATAAAACATGCTGGCTAATTCAACAATAATTACATGGGTACAATGGATACAGTATAAACTATAACAGATTGAACATTGCTCAACAAAAGTTGGTGATTAAAGAGACTGAAAATAGAAAAATCCTCAACACAAAGGGGTGATGGGTGATTTAAACAACTACTAAATTTAAATGGGGATTCAACATGCCAAATCCGATAGACTCATATGATATATATACCCTCAAATACCCTCATGATGGTGTAACGGTGGGCATTCAGGTTTCCAATCATCTATGGAGGCAAATTCCCGGTGAAATCCTACAAGTCGTACCACCTCATCCAACCAACCATCAACATGTCCAAAATACATGTGTTTTTGTTCATCGAACATTATGTTTATTGCTGAGTCTCCGAAATAATGTGTGTATATATATATAGAGAGAGATATATATATATATATAGCAATGTTTACACATATTTCAAGGTCATACCAGAATCATCATCAGCCAACATGGTCACCAACCACCCCCCGGTGCCATTGCCTGCCGCTCGGATGCGTTTCTTCTCAGACGGGACGTCGGGTTTGTGATCCCTCGTGGAAACTAAATGTTCCAAATCCCCTGCGAGCAGATTTTGGTCCGGGCGGAAGGTGGGGAAGGTATCTATACAGTAGCAACACGTACCAATTTCGCTGGAAAGAGAATGGACAGCCAAACAAAAGAAACGGAGATGTCGATCAACACATCCAGTGAATTACGGAAGATTGCAACAAACAAAAGAGACACAACAAAAGCGCATAGACCATCCCAACTAGTAACTGACTAGTAAAACTACTTGTGCATTTAGCAAATTTAGCATAACCTCAGGAATAAGTGCGTTTTACAGGTCTGAAAATAGGGTATGCCCCCAAAGCCACTGGTGAATCATCCTTTTCCTCATTAGAACTGCCATAAGTCACCGCGCCTCGAGGTCGATAGAGCAAGGCGCGACTATCTCCCAGATTTGCCAGGATCACCCGATAGAGTCCGCCCCCTGACCAGCAAGAAGGTTGTCCACACGACGAGAATGCACGGACAAGGATGCGCATATCTGTTGAAAACACGGTTGTGAATCAAAAGTGGGTCACCCAGATTCAATGGAACGCTTACACACATATATATATATTTACAGATGTATATATATATATACATGTTTATATATATATACGTATATATATTGTATTATTGTGTATATATATATAATATGATATAATATATTGTTAGATTATATTGTATCATATCATATCATATCATAACATATCATATTATATATATATATTGTGTGTGTCCGAATGATCAAAGTCCATGGGTTGATGGGCCCCAAAGTCGTTCCCATCCCTTTTTCCGAAACCCAAAACTGCCGTCCCCGAAATGGTCCGATTCGCCTTGTGGCAAAGTTATGCACATCGCCTTGGAGCCGGCCGAGTGACTTGGGGATCGACCCTGAGATGCTGGTGCTACAAGAAAACATGAAGGGGATGTGATCAGAAGGACCAGGATGAGTGTCATCGTCGTTCTCATTGGCAGGGTGCTTTTCACGACTTTCGTCTTTCTTTGTGTTCGATGTGAGGCTCAGCTGCTTGCCTGCGTGACACTTGGAATTCTGGTGCCATCTTAGATGTTTCTTCGCATGTCTGTTTGGCTGTTAGCTGAAAAAAACTTCCGGAAGAAGAGAGATATAGTCATAGATGTCCATAGCCTGTATTTTGTCGGGGATGATGATGATGATGATGATTCTGTCAATAAATCATAAAATTATGGCGTCCCAACCATTCCAAGTATCCGCCTTCCCATCATGACAATCATTATAATTTATAATGTATTATTATCTCCATTAGCGTAATGATTCTTATCACTTATCATCACCAAAAACTGTCGGAATCCCATGTGTGACGAATCTGGGCGTAATACTTTTTAATATCCTGAACTTACTGTATCCTCATGATCAATCCCAGATTTATCCCGACTTAAAAATACAACAATAGTGAGCCTTGAGTTAATAGGTCCATCGGGATCATTTTCAAAGAAAGTATCAGCCGCGTCAGCTTTTCCAATTTCTAGATATTGGTTAAATCACAATTCTTCCCCAAGGTTTCCCCAATATCCCTAATATCCCCATGGTTACAGCTCCAAACACCTTCTGACACTGTATGTGGGGTATGTTTATGGATACTTTTTTGAGATTTGACCACGAAAACATGGAGATAATTTTCATTCCATCCCAAGTTCTCCATGGTTTCTTACTAAAATCCCATCCCATTAGCATTTCATGTGAAGATTCCCTCCCTTGCAGTATCCCATGAAAATCCCTATCCCCGGCGACGGCGGTGAAAATCACCTTTCCAGATATCCCCAGGCGCTTGGAGGATCATCCTAGTATACGTTCATCAGTTATCATCATTAATTAATATCATTAATTCATTGATGAAACATATCATTGACCATGAAAAATACCATAATTGTGATTCATAATTTATAGACATTACTCGTGGTATATATTGATGAGTTGTCACCAGATATCACCCCATAATCCACAGGGTAATCCCCATTATTCAAAATCACCAGCATTGATTATTATATTCCGTATATCACCATTGTATCAGATGATCTGCTTCAGATATATCGGAGTTATGGTTTAACATATTAAGGGATATGATCATCATTATGACGGTTACAGTATCATAATCATCATCATAATGGTTGTCATAATCACCATTAATCATGATAATGGTTTTCATAATCATCATTATGGTTACAGATATGTTTAATCACTTAAAGTTTTAGTCCCCCTTACTGGTGGGAATATAATAGTATAAATCTACACTGGGATTTAAAATATCATATATATATATATACATGTTATTGGGTTCGCCATAAAAATATATATATATGTATGTATGTAATTACGTATCTACATAGGCATACCATGAGTAATAAATCATATATTATAATATACATATATATATATATCATATTATCCCCATATACCATCCACTAATTATTCTCCCATTCATCACCCCAATTTCCATGTGTGCAAGGCAGAGCAGCGCGACTTTTGATCCATTAAGAGCCTGCGCAATCACACGCAGGTTGTCAGGTTGTTGCACTGATAAGAACAGATACTTCACCTGTCCATCAGTGATAAGAGCTGATCCTACATCTGTCCAGTTGTACATGCATGCACATGAACCCTTTTGCACTCCCCCCACGACTTTGTCGTGTTTAAAAGGGGCTTCTGCCGGGAGGCTCTTTCAGGATCAACTAAGGGCTCAAGGCTCTTAAAGTTGGATTTGCCAGTGATGCCAGGTTGTTGTTAGGCCCCACTGGTCTTAAAATCACTATGGTGCATAAAGACTTGCACCCTTTGGAATCAACCTCGGCACGTAAAGACTCATGCCTCAGCTGACTTGTTGGCAGTAAAGACCCTGCCAAAGAAAAAATGTCCGGCTCTCAAAAGAGCATCTTTTCAAAATTGCGCTCCACCTGGATCATGCCGTAGAGCTCGAAGTCACTGACAGGATCTCACCGTAACCCTATCGGCAGCCTCTTCACGGCGCTCCACATAAACATTTGTGGAACTCGCTGCAGCTTTCGATGTTGTCGTTGGCGGACGCAACACCGGTCGCAGACCCAAGTCCGCTGCAGCTTTGGCTGGTTGAACTCCTCGTTCTGCTCGAAGTTCACCAGTCATCCGCAACATATGGGACAACGTCGCCCTCTGACCAGGGTTTCCCATCATCTGCTGTTGTGGTGGCTGCAGACTGCCACCTTGATCACCACCATATCCTGCCGGACCTTGTGGTCTTTGCTGCATCGGCGCAGCCATTGGTGGTTGCCCTTGTGGAGGTCCAGGCACATAGTTCGGAGCTGCCCTCGGCATCACCTTAGCTGGAGGTGGACCCATGGGAGGTGGTCCCGCTCTCACTTGAGGTGGTGGGCCCCTTGGTGGTGGACCTGGCATTGCATGTTGTGCTGGAACTGCTGGTGGTTTGGCCATGCGGTTCATCCACTCCTCCATGTTCTGTCGCTGAAACCAAGCTGCAGGGGGAGGCTTTTTGCCAGGCTGAACCATACCATGCTCAAAAGGAACTCCTGGGTCAGCCTCCTCCTCTGTGCTCTCTCTGGTCAGCCCATTCTTCGGCACAGCCACCACATTTCCTTGGAGCGCAAGCGAATGCGTCACCCCAGGAACCACTGGCCGGCGAAGCATCAAGCCCACCTGCGCGAAGTCCATCTCAACCTGCAAGCCATTGAGCACACCATATCTGTAGGTCTGCATGGATCCAACCCAACTGGTCTGATCCCACTGGACCCATCGCCCATACGTCAAGGGAATGGTCTGGCCCTGCATCAACGCTGTGACCACTTGTTGCACATGCTGCGCTGAATTTGCTGGTGCCATCCCCAAACCTGCATTTTGCCGCATCTGTTGCCCCAAACTTCCTGGGACCCTCGGCGCCATCTCATGCTCCGGGTCGTTGCGCACCACCCTTGAAAGGCGCGCATCTTCAACCTCTGTGTCCTGTTCCACATGGACCTCTTCTTCAACATTCTCTGGCTCTACGTTGATCTCCTCCTCAACATTCGCTGGGTCACCCGCAGTGGTCGAAGTGATTGCCACCTCAGTTGCTGTGGTAGCTGTTGGTGGGTCTGTTGCAGGCCCTTCGGCTCCACCATCATCACCTCCACCATCATCTCCATCGTCGCCCTCGTCCTCTTCAGGGATGACCTCCATGTCATTCTCAGAGACCTCTTCCTCCGCCGTCTCGCTGTCATCTTCATGCAAACCATCTGCCACAGGCTCCAAGGCTTCACTGCCCTTCGCCTTGCCCTTTGCTGCGTAGTGAGCTCGCAGCTCACCAGTTGTGGCTGGTTTGCCCTTTCCAAGCCGTGCAACAGAGGTGCGACTTCGGCTGCTGCTGCTGCCAGCTTGGTCTGGGGTGGTGCCGCTTTCCGTCATCTCCTGCACATCCGCAGCGTAGTCCACCGCTGCTGTCGCTGCCTCCACCGCCAGAGCCACTTCATTGGAGTCCCCGCTGGTGACATTCACATGGTCGGCGGTGCGCAACGCCTGGACCGCCTTTGCATTGGCCGTCGCCAGGAGGATGTTTCTCCTCTGTTCAGCCGGCGTATCGCCACGCCCCATCAGCACCGGAGCTGCCTGTGCTGAACTTTTTCCTCCTTGGTCATGTGTGAAGAGCTGGCGAGGTCGACAGCCCTTCGCGAAGATCCGTTGCCAGGAAAGGTTCGGACTCAACACCCCGTGAATGATCGTCGACCCATCCTTGCCCGTCTCCACATCCTGCTTGGTGCCTCTGCCACGTCCCCGAAACCAGTATCCAGGGGGTCGCGCCCAAGCCATTCTTTGCCTCTTGACATCCAGGGTTGTGCATGTCCTGCGTGGACTTTCTTCTTCATCTTCATCTTCATCATCCGCTGGAGGATCCGGCCCATGGTCTCGTTCTGGTTCTCGTCGATTTCGACGATCTCGGCCAGGATCATCTCCATCTCCACCTGGTGGGGGCATAGCCATTGCACCGTGCTTGCCCTCCAACTGCACTTGCCTTTCAGTCTGTAGGGGCTGCTCCTCATCCACAGCCTCTGAAACCAACTCGTAGCTCCCATCAGACTGCGTGTCATCCACCTGCTGCGCTGGTGGTCTTGGAGGTCGCTCTTGTGGTTCTGGTTCTCGAAGACGTGGATCGTAGTTGCGGATCGGCACGTACTCAAACCCAAAGCGACTGCCCCTCATCACTCTTGTTCCCATTGCTGCTTGTCCACGTTGTTGAACTGGTCCAAGCGGTTGAGGTTCTGCTCCAGCCCAAATGGCTGAAGTTGTAGGGCTCAACATTGCCACCCTACCACGTTCAGACACCTTGCCAGTGCCCTTTCCTTTCTGGTCAGGCTGACCGTCCATCTGGCCTTGTTGGCCTTTGTAGTGACCTCCTTGGCCCTTTCCATGGCCAGGCTGGCCATCATCTTGGCCATTGTGGCCTTTTCCCTTGGTTGCCCTCGACGCCGGCAGTGAAGAAGTTCCTGTTGCCGAACTCCCTGACGACCTCGCCGTGCTCTCCATGGCGTGTCGCCCGGCACCCAAAACCTCAGTTGGCGGCTCGAGCCCAAGGTCCTCAACAGAGAAGTCCTCAATCGGATCTCCTTCAAGTCCATGCCATTGCTCAGCACGACCAACCAAGTTGCAGTTGAAACCATGCCCATCCCCTTGGCGCCTCTTCAAAAGACCTTGTTGTTGACGTCTCTTCCCATGGCTGACTTTGAGCGCCCGAAGTTGCGGCCCGTGGCAGCCCGAAGGGCAGTTGTCAAGGTTTTGAGATGATCTTTGTAGGGAGGAAACTTGATCCCTTTGAGGATAGTACTCAGCACTAAGACTACGCTCCATGTTCGAAACC